TAAGTCGGGGACTGCCTGTAGCAGGGGGACAGGGCGGGGCAGTGGGAGCTGGCTTAAAAGTTGACTGCCCCACAAGCACTGTCTTTGCAGAATTGGGGAGGGTTGGCAGGATGCCAGAACAGTCTTTGTCTGCTAGGAGCTTGGGCCCCCCGTAGACTGGAGCTGCCACTGCCCCACGCTGCTGCCTCTGTATTGGAGCAGCAGGCAGGAGCCGGTCTGTATTGGGAGCCGATTTTTAAACTGGCAACCCTCGCAGGCAGGCTCCCGCCTTCCACCCCGTGCTGCTGTGTCTGATACAGAAACTGCCTGTGCGCCTGGTCCTACTACATTTAAATTGCAGAGGCACAGCAGGGACAAAAATGTTCCTCTGCCCTATTGTGCTGAGCCACATGTGAAGACTAACCATATGGGCAAAAAGCAAAACTGACTATATAACAGGGCTGTTGCAGAAGGTAAAAGCTCTGGAAACCATAGATAATTTTCAGTTGTAGTAATCTTAATTCTTAATATTCAGTTTTTAAAAAGTATACACGCTTAAACTGAAAGTGCCCGTTCTAAATGGCATTAGAACAGACTTTATTTTTACTGTTACATTTGAATAACATATGTTTCTCATTCTTACAAGAAGTAATTCAGTTCCACAATTCACAAGTAATATTTTATAGATTAATGTTATCAGTTATAGTATGTACTGGAAACAAACTTGGAAACTAATAAGCTTAGTATGGTAAAACTATGAAGGAGTTGAAATGGATTTGAAATCTCAAATTTAATTACATTTTAATCAAATGCTCACAAAGTTACTTTTGATAGCATTGGTTATAAAATTGTTATGCAGCACACATCAAAACAGTGTTGATAGCCATGTGTATTTTAACACTGCATTCCAACTGCTAAAAATCGCCTTAAAACAACAACAAAAATTTGATACTTGTATAATATATTTGGCAGTCTTGTTGTTAAAGTGTGTAATAAGTAGTAATTTAGCTAATTAAAATCCAAAAAACTATTTGAATGTGGGTTTGTTTGTTTTTGTTTTTAAGCGTCTCAACAGATGAAACAAATTCTCCAGTATCTCCTTACAGCTGGCAGGTAAATATGTGCATGTAAAATTGTATAGTCTTTATTAGCCCTTAATAGTCATTTCATCCACAAATGAGCTACTGGTACAGCATAATTTGCACAGTGCTTGTGTGCCCAAATGTATTTGTTTACATGTACCAATAAACAAGTATTCATAATTGTGGTTGCAAATGTAAAGGTAATCTAAAAACATCCCTCTTAATGCAGACTTCATTTTGCATCACATTTTTAATACAGGTGGGTTTTTTTTCCAAACATTGCTTATTAATTTCAAGATCTTTGTACTGGTTTTAAGGCATTGTAGGTCTTCATTTCATCCTGCTTTATTCTTATATCGTTTCTTTGTCTTGTGTGTATCAGATTTTTCTGTTTTCTTAAGTTTTAAATATCTTGCTTTTTATGCTGAGGTAGGAAACACCAAAAGTCATGTGAAATATTTGTGATCAAACTCTGAATCTTTGGTTGTAGATTTCTATTAATTTTTTCTTCATTTTATGGTGCATCTAGGTGCAATACAAAGATTGATTTATATGCATTGTCCTTGTAGGTAAATATTTCCGTTTGCAGCAGCATCTTTCATCTGTAGTGGATATGAGAATATTTGATTTATTTAAATTCATTGATTTTACAACTAAGCCTCTTCTTGTCTCCTTCAAATCATCTTAATTTACATGTTATAAAGATGGATATTTCTATAGTGTCATCTATTTTCATACATTCCATTCTATGTAGGAGTCATAAGAAAATACTTAAAAAAAAAAATATCAATGGATAACTGAGTTGATGTGTGAAATTATTCACACCTCAATTTGTATACACAGTAGCTCACTGTGTGCTCAAATAGGGTAATCATACATGAATGGCTGGTCACAAATCTACCTTTCCATTTGCATGCCTGTTAGTGGTAAGTATATACTGTATAGTTTTGGCACATGCCTAATCTGTGAAAATGAGGCTCAATGTGGATAATCAAGAAAGCTGTGATTATTTTTTTTAATTAACAATTTTAGGTCATCATTAAATTTACTCTCCCCATATACAGTATAACTTACTTAGAATCTTAACTGCTAAAGACAGCACTTAATTCCACCAGTCTCTGGTACAGGTAAATGTAAGTGTTGTAAAACTAAAGTGTAACAGAGGCAAATAGGGCCCAAGATAAATAGTATTTCTATTTAAATCAATTTTGCTGTTCAGATTTGCCCCATAATGTAATTTCAGTATCCTCATAATCCGATGTTCTTTCTTAATGTTTAAATACGTGCTGTCTAAAACATTGTTGAACTTTGCAGCCCCTAGAAAATCAAAAGGAACTGACAGATGAGCAGCACTGGCCAGAAACGCAGCCTGTTATCTGGCAGAATGAAGAGAGGAGGAGGAGCAAACAAGTTAGAAAGGAATATTTCAAGGTATTGTTACACATTTTCTCATTTGTTGCCACTTTTCCATCTTTGAAGAACTAATGTTTCTAGTTACGACTTGAGCTCTTTTACTTATCCTAAAGGAAGACAACATATTTAGCTTAATTATCAGCAGATGATAATTTGATAAAAAGTGATAATGTATCTTCTGGTTTACACTCTGCTGTAATTTGCAGATGTATGTATATCGTCTAACCAAATACATATTAACAAACAGTATTTTAAAGTACAGGCGACCCCCGCACTTATGGCCTATTTGGTTCCTGGAGAGCCATTGTAAAGTCGAACCCATTTTTCCCATAGACGCAATGATAAAAATGGGGGTTCCATTCCCGAAACTCTATTTCATGCTCTAAAAATGCCAACATTGACTATGGAAATGGAGGAAAAGTAAATAAAACTTTTCTAAAAGTGCACCAAAAGACTGAAAATAAAGTTTCAGAAAGATTGGATGGCTAACAGTTTGCAACTATCTTGAATTATACTTAGCCATCCAATCTTTCTCCTAAATTGGTAGCTGAAAACTTTATTTTCAGTCTTTTGGTGCGCTTTTAGAAACGTTTTAAAAACGTTTTTTTAATTATATTTTTGGTCTTTGGGAGTTTCTAAAAGTGCACCAAAAGACTGAAAATAAAGTTTCAGAAAGATTGGATGGCTAACAGTTTGCAACTATCTTGAATTATACTTAGCCATCCAATCTTTCTCCTAAATTGGTAGCTGAAAACTTTATTTTCAGTCTTTTGGTGCGCTTTTAGAAACGTTTTAAAAACGTTTTTTTAATTATATTTTTGGTCTTTGGGAGGGGTTGCTGGGGGGGGAGGGAGACAGGAGACTGAGCTGGCGGGGTGGGGCAGGACCCATGGGGAGTTGTAATTAGGCCTTGTGAGGGGGAGGGAGAGCCGCGGGGGGGGGGGATTGGGA